GAGAGAGAGAGAGAAGGCGAAACAGTGGGGAACGCCAATAGAAAAATTGGCAAATTGCATTGAGCATATGGAGACCAAAGCTTACAAATTGCACTGTAAGCACAAGAAAACGAAGATAGATTAACAGCAGAAAAAATATAGTGTTCTTAGTCGTTAAAATCAGCTATAAAACATTCGTTTTACAAAACAATTGGTTTTAGACGTTAGAGATTTGAAAACACTTCTCTTTAACGCTAACGATACTCTTTTATTTTTGCCATGCAGATTTAATATTTTTTGTAAAGTACACACGTTTTGCTAGACTCCGTAATGTCACTGTGCAATTTTCTTTTTGATCTCTGTTACAATGGTATAAGAGTTCCTCTCGAGAAGCTAAAGAGGAGAACTCAAGCTTACGTCGATCATCGCGTGCCACCTATGGAAAGTCAGCGATTTAGAGTGCGTGTATCCGAGGGGTTAATGACGACGTTATTTAATGACGACGTGCTTTGATGTGCCGCTCGTATACCGGAAAAAAGTCTCCCGCTTACGTAATTGTTTTGTAAACTGAGCGCGATGCTTTGACGGCAACGTCACGTGGGCGTGGGATTAAAATGTGTGTATATACGCTCTTTAACGAAGGAAAAGTCCCTGCATTTCTTTCACACGTGCGAGTTTACGATCGATAATGGATTTCAGCGATTTAGATCGCTTGGAACTAATAGGATAGCAATCACTGATTTAATTAGAAGTTGCCTTTTGAATCTAAATATCAATCGAATTGATTTCTCTCCTTGCGACGATATTTTAATTAATCGCCCCGTATATCATAAGACATCATAAAACAATATATTTTATATCGAATATATTTTATATATAGACATATATAATAATAATATATAACAACATATATAATAATTATAGTATTTTTTTTATATTAAAGATATTAATAAAAGAAAGAAATAATTCTTGATATTCATAGGTTTATTTTTTGGATAGAACAAGGGTGAAATATATATATATATATATATATATATATATTTGCGCTTCATTCCTGATATTGAAGATATATAAGAGCTGTGCAAATACCGTGTTCTCATATGCTCGAGTTATGGCATTTATTAGTCGTCTAATGTCAATATTATGCTATCTAATAATATTTCTCATTAAGACGTACTTCGATGTACATATACATGTTACAAAAATAATTGATTTTCTACATTATATATGCAGATTGTGAATTATTCAGTTTTTTCAAGATATGCTATGTGTTATGATATTGTCAATTGTACAATTGTCAATACTACAATTGTCAATTATTAAAATAATTGTTCTTATTTCTTATATAAGTTTTAAAATTCTTTTTCGTTAAAATTCTATTTATTATTTATAATCTTATTTCATATATAAGTTCTTTTTTCATTAATATTTCCTAAATTGATGCTTTCTAACACTCATAATATTTTAATCTCTACCTACGAGTCTGACGATAAAATAATGAACGTATATTTAATAGATTAATTAGGTGTTGGCAATAAACTTACTGTTACGTGTCCAGCATTACAACACTCTATGTCGGATGACTATGTCGGTTAAGCAATATCGCACTTATGGCACGTACGATCGCTGAAACTTTATTACTGTGAAATGAGAACATTAATTGCGGCTTTTCACGTTGATCCATTATTGCATGTAAATGTTCGGTTCGTGTAGCCAATAGATTCCTCATTACGGACTTTTAAAAGATTTTGATTTCGATTAATTTTTCTTTTTCACGGCGACTTAGTCTCGCCTGTCCTCACAAAATAAAAAAAATTTACTTTTATATAAACTTTATTCGAATCTTTTTTTGAATATTCTCGAAATCCAGTCAATTCAAGCGCCTTTGAACGCGGATACTCAACGCTTCGAGGACGACTGAATAGCCGCCGGCTCTCCTCCCCCTTCATTCCTCCAATCAAATCCACTTGGAGAGAGACGGGATAACGAGAAATTCCTCTATCGGCAAAGCGTTGCAGGAATATCTGGATATCCGATTCAATAAAAGGAAGCAGAAAGGTGGCGAGGACGGGAGTCATAAGTCGCCGGAGAAGAGCACTACTATATAGCGCACCTCTTCCGCTTTTCCCGAGGGTGACACCGTCGTTTACACGGTGTTTGTGGGGGCGCGACATTTATCTTCGCGCGAGCGCAACAAAGGCACGTAATGAGAACATGTGTTGGACGCAGGAAGCTTCATTAGCGAGCCTGTTCCTGTTCACGATGCACATTATGCCATCTAACCGTCTGCGATGCGCAAATACCAAGCTACACGATGATTTTTCGGCGCCGCGAATCCACGCCGCAAATTGTATATCTTTTCTTCATGAATCAGGAAGATGAGAAATAAAATTAAGAGACACGGCAATTAATACAACATTAAGCTATCAATAGTTTTTGGATTAAAAAAACGATTTATACATATGAACTTAGATCTTGACGAATTAAATTCTTATAATTTAAGATTGTCTTTATCTTGTGAAAAAGTCTTTTATTTTCTATTTTATTATTATTTAAAGTTTCTGTAATGAATACTTAAACTGTTGTCATGGTAATCATGACTAATATACAAAGTCAGAATCTATGAAATAAGCTTAAAAAATTTAATGATGATTTATATTAAAATCTCGAATTAACATGATTCTCTGTCGTATAAGCAATAAGCAATTTTTTTATTTTCAGTTTACGTCGGGGACCAGGTGCTAACGTGCAAGATGCCAGTGGATATTCAGCTCTTCATCATGCAGCCCTGAATGGACATAGGTATAATATTTTAATTATTTTTTAAAAGTTTTTCAGTATACTTTTTAGATCGATAAAATTTTGATGTTTGTTTTCGCTGATTTTTTTTAAAACAGATATATCTATTGTCTTTTGTAATGTTTGTTTAAATATTTATTTACAGAGATGTGGTCAAATTACTGCTCCAATATGAGGCTTCCACCAATGTCGTCGATGCTAAGGGTTCCTCACCGCTTCATTTAGCAGCTTGGGCTGGGGATGCGGAAATTGTACGATTAATTCTCAACCAAGGTCCATCGGTACCAAAAGTGAATCTTGCGGTTAGTATAACAATTAATATAATGTCAATTTTATAAAAGTTCTATACCAATATCAATATCAAATTGATTAGTTTAGGATATATTTTAAAAATCTTGATGAATATTGCATAATATATTTTCATTGAAATAATCTGAGAAATTATTTTATAGATAAATAGATAAAGAAATACTTTTTATTATAATTTTGTTTAGCGGAAATGTTTTTGGTAAATCGATCTGTCACAAAATAATCAATACGTATTATCTAAAAAACTCTAAATATTATTTGGTTACAGACAAAGGATAACGAAACTGCATTGCATTGTGCCGCACAATACGGACACACGGAAGTGGTGGCACAGCTGTTGCAATACGGATGCGACCCTAGTATCCGCAACAGCCGTGGAGAATCCGCGCTCGACCTCGCTGCGCAATATGGCAGGTAAATCACACATACTATATATCACTATATTTTTTTCGATAACTCAGATACATATTTTCTCATATACACTTTATAATATACGAATAATTAATTTTCGCGATAATATTCTTTCGATCGATTTTTTATTATGAACCGATATGACGTAATCGTAACGTTTCTTACAGATTAGAAACAGTGGAGTTGCTTGTGCGAACGCATCCTGAATTAATCGAATCACTCCGTAATTCTTCGTCATCTTTGATCTTCCCGCATACACCATTGCATCTAGCTTCTCGCAATGGTCACAGGTAAGAATTTATTTATACAAAAGAATAATTTATGATTGCCAGAAAATTATTAAAATTAACTTTCAAGTTTATTATACAATAACAATATATATATATATATATATATAAAAATATATTATAATTATATAATTAATTTGATTTTCCCTTCTTATCTTATATCTCTTTATGAATCGATTTAGTGATTTTAATTTTCCGATATCAATGAATTTATTATAATGCCATTACTATCACACATTCGAATATTCGATTTTATTTATCTAAGGACCGCGTATCATTTCTTCCCGCGAAATGGTCACGCTAATTACTGGATAATGCACAACGTGTATTGTGTCCCAGTACAACAATGGACTCGTTCGAGCTAACCATAACGATGTCGAGCCATTTGCAGCGTTGGCCATTAGAGCCAATCAGAGAGCACCGCGTTGCGTAATCCCGTCGAATGCGATATATGCGTCCTCGGACTGGCATGATCCGATCCAACCCTCTACTGGCTACACGTCCCATATTACCGTCCCGTCGATTGCCCTCTCGTCCCTCCTCGAGCCACGCGAATGCATCCGATCGCATCACGCTGGCAGCCGCTCTGTCCATCCGTGCGGATTGCTGACCGCCTCCCGATTACGAGAATCGTATTAATCACTGCCGTCGAAATGTATCGACCTATATTAATCACGACAGTAGCAGCGGCAAAATATCACCTCTACATGTCTAAAAAAAGATATTAATTTCTTAAATACTGTTTATCATATCGATTTACCATTATATTGCATTTATTTGATAATATAATGAATAAGAAATTATTAAATTGAAAATGGGAAAATTTTCTAAATAGAATAAATAACATCGTGTGTAATATCAATTGATTGAACCACGTAATATGACGACACAGAAGAAACGGCATAATCGATTACATTGAAGCAATATAATCAGATAATAAAAATTATAATCATCTCTATATTCTTCGATAATTGGAAAAATTTTTTGATTTTCTCTTAAAATTAAAATTTCATTTTGGTATCACGCGCTGTAACATCTCCGTTACCTAGTCGTTTCGCATTTAACATTTGGTGCCGAGCGATACGTTCTCGTTTAACAGGGCGATGCTAGTCCATAATCCCGTTGAGCTTTTTGTATAATCGACACCACGGAGACGAGAGTGGCGGACAGTGAGGGGATGGATGATCGTAACAGTCCGGTTGGCGGTCGAATCGAATCGTGAATCGCCGCGAAACGGCAGTCACATTGTAATCGGGTATAACGCCGGTTTTTCTATGCAGCCTCGCAGCCGGTAATCGCTTTAACCGGCGCTTGCCGCTTATAATGCGATCGTATCGCGATATACAGTCCGGCGACTGCATTTTCCGTCGATGCCGGCGCGAGGGTGCAGCAGAATTGGCCGGGGGTGGTGGCGTGGGATGGGCGTGAGAGAGAGAGAAAGAGAGAGAGAGAGAGAGAGAGAGAGAGAGAGAGAGAGAGAGAGAGAGAGAGAGAGAGAGAGAGAGAGAGAGA